ACTTTGCATATTCAATGGAGGTAGCTTTTACTAGAAATGCATTTTACCTCAATCTGATCATATATATATATATATATATATATATATATATATATACATACACACACACACACACACACACACACACATATACATATATATGTATATATACACACACACACACACATATATATGACATTCTTAAATTGTGCTAGAAATATAACAAATATGATCTAAAAATAGTGTGCTCTTCTTGTGAGATAAAAATTTTTCCATATTGTTAACTGGTTTACATTTTCTAATATATAAGCTATTACTAATTTTGAAATTATTTTTAAATCCAAACCCTATATGACAAAACACAAACCCATGCAATGGCTATTAAATTGCCGAAGCTTCAGCCTTGGAAAAAGATTTAGTAATCAAAGTTTAGTAACAGTTTCTATGGGTATATAAACAATAGTTTGCAGAAGTTGAAATCAGTTATTAATCAGTTAGGAAAGAAAGGAAGAAGAGAAAGGAAAAAGGAGGGACAAAAGATGGAGAAATCAGACATGTAGAATATATGTCCACAGTAGCAACAGAGTTTAAGGTAATTTCATTTGAATATAATTAAAATTTACCCAAGTATGCTTTGATAGAATTTTTAAATGGTTTGTGCAATAGTCATATGACCATCTGTATAGCAACTATACAAACGAATGATAAGGAAAAAAACACAGAAAAAGAATATGGAAGAACTAGTGCTGTGAGAAATGCTTTTAGATAGCATTTACATATAAAAGTTTATTAATGGAATAAACCAATGAGCTACATACAGTACATGGAGAGAAACCTGGTCATTTTGACCCACGTTCATACGTAAGAAAACAACATTAGGCATTTAAACTGTAGTTGGCCTCTCCGTGCTTCCTACTGTTCAAAGAGCAATTAATTACTCAGGAATGGATAGAAAATTACCACACTGCAGGCTTCACTCAGCTCTAAGTGTTCCACAACCCATCAGCATCTCTACTGGTAGAGATACAGTTCCATGGAGCTCTCCAAGAGGACAACCAGGAGATCTCCATACTGATTGTGAATGGTATCAAGAAAGATGGTGGTTCTCTTAAACAATTGCCTTATTTTTTTCTCTTAAACATAGTGCATTGTGTAAAGGGCGACTTTTTCCAATTTCAAGTTGGTGGGTTATTTCCACTCAATTTAACAGGTATATGGGCCATTACATATGGCTTTAAGCTGCATCCTGAGATCACTTTGTTTCAGTTCCCACTTTCCCTGCCTTGACGGGACAGATGGACCGTACATACACAGGTCCTCCAGGAATCTCCAGCCTGTGCACTCTGGACTCAAACAAATCACAGCCAAACTAGCCAGGATTTTCCTAGCCTTGCTTCCACCCTGCAGAACCGAAGAACTCTTAATTTCCCTCCATGGTAATTCCTCCCTGCGAACTAGCATTCCCCTTCTGAATTCTTCCTCCCCGTTCTCTACTGTCACTTCTCAGAATTTTATTTCATCCTACATTTCAATTGTGCTAACTTGGTGTATGTTATATATTACTGTTTGATGTCTAAAATCCTACTAGGAATAGAAACATGGTTGACTATAAAACATTCAAAAGTTTAATCATAGTGATATCTGACATCAAATTATGAGGAAATTAAGTTTAAGGATTGTCTCACCATTCTTAATGCAACTTGATTGATAGTAAAATGAAAACAAACATACCCTGGCACACCATACATTGATCTCCATGCATGAAGCATGAATTTGGCATGAAGGAGAGGGTGTATCACTGGACTTCTTCATTTTTTATGGCTTAAGGGGCCCCTTAAAATTGACTGCTTATAATCGGAGGTATTTTATTTATTAGCCTTTCAAAACAAGACATTTTAATAGAATATTTTCAGACCATCAGCTAAATGAATGCTTAAGAAAATAATCTATTGGCCAATGTGAAAGCTTATAAAAGTACATTCTCCAAACTCTGAGTTAGAGGTATGAAAACAAGTCACTTCAGAAAATCTATTCATAGAATTAAAAATGGCATATTTATTGCTATTTTCTAATCTCTTGACAGCATCTCTTTTGGAACAAACCCTTTTAAGATTTCATGATAGCATCCCAGAAATACACATAAATGCCCTATTTCAAATATAATTTCAGAGAATCCACAGCCTGTCTGAATCCTACCACAGATGCTGGTCCACCTCCTGGAATAGGGGTCTCTGCATATCAGGCTAAGAATCTGCTCCTCGGGCTTAAATTTAAGATTAATAGTCATTTAAACATACACATACATATCTCAAAGATAACTGTTTTAAAAAGAAAACATGAACTAAAGTAAGCCTTCATAATGATACTTATGTTCCTTTTTGCTGAATGTTGCTTTTTTAATAAGTCAAAACTAAAACACTTGTTACAAGTGGACATAAGGACCTAAAAGAATCAATTTATTTGCTTCTACCATCCTGTCATTTCAAACAAGGTTCCCGCTAATCATTCACACTTCTAGAATCAGCTGCACAAAGTCCTAACTCACATATTTTTCCCCAGTAACCAAAATTTTGATTAAAGTAAGTCATCTTTAATTTTTATTAAATATAGGCATTTTATTCATAAAAAAAAATGGAATACAGTCCACAAAAGTGTTTAGCCATGCCCAATTGTCTTCAAGCCATATTTTGCTTAACTTAATAGAAGAGCAAAAATATTGTTTTATTTATAAAATGGATGAGATTTATACATTCTGAAAACTGAAAATCTTCAAAACTGTCATTTATGATTTAACATTATACTTCTATTCTCCTTTATACTTTCCATTCAATTGTATCAAACCAAAAATTAGAAAGAATGCAACTGCATTATAGCTGAACATAACAAGTATAAAAATTGCAAAAATTCACTGGAGATTTTTTATGATATTTATGTCTACATAATAGTGAAAAAAAAAGTGCTGTATAAATGAGAAAGCCACTGAAGGGCAAAATCTGACTCCTGGCTTTATTAGATGCAGGCCTAATGTCTTTCAGATAAAATATTTGTAGGTGCCACAGTCAATCAAGATTTCAACAGGAACCAAAGATGAAAGCATTCATGCATAAAAGGCAAGTGTGATAATTATGATGTGGAGACAAGATAATGGAAAATACCCAAGGCCTCTTTTCACTTTATGTATCAAGTGCTGCCTTGACCTAGATATCCTACAATGCTCCATCATATTTACTGTGTTATTTTATCATTTTAATTATTAAGCAGAATTCAATTAATTGGGCTAGCATCTGGTCAGCAGATGAAAAGCCTCTACTATCTTACAGGGTCTTTTTCCTATGTCATTTCTCAAAATAATACTACAAAACAGTTTTGAATAAACATACAGCTGAGTTTAAAGTTCTTGTTCGTCCTTTAAATTTATTAACCTCTTACCAATTAGAGAAATGGCACCTATTTTCCTGGAATGTTATTCTCAGATAGATTATATCAAAGTGGTTACAGACATATTCCCACTGAAATTTTAGTGTGACTCTATACTGTGAAGTTTACACTGACTCCATTTAAAAAGTTCTCTGGTACTGGAGCAAATAGAAAATGGTGAAGTAATTATTACAGAGAAGATAGTTCAGAATATAGATTTAGCATAAAGTTCATTGCCTATGTATTTAAGCATTATGGTAATCATTTTCTAAACTATGCTTTAATCTATCATCCGGAACCAGGGCTCACCTGCCTTAATATTCATGAAAATAGTCCCCAACAAAGTTCAAGATTACAGTTACATTGCTAGTATTACTATAATGTATCACATTATTAAAACACTAAGGCTTTATACTTATTACTTGCCAAAATTATAATAATGCTTCTTACAAATGTGATACGTAACTATTCCTTCTAAAACTTTTCTGTTAATATGATTTGGAGGAAAGTAACTTTAAAATGTTACTAAAAATTCCTGTTCAGAACCATCAAGTCAAAGAATAAAGTTTCTCAGTATGCCCATTTCATTATTTTTAAAAAAGGCTTCCATAAAGCAGGGATAAAATTCCTTTCCTACTAGAAGGCAAACCTAACATACCAATGAAACAGATTACACCTGACTAAAAGGGAAATACTCACTGAGGATTCAATCCTGAATAAAGGCAGAACATCTATCTTATCCTTAGTTGTTGCTCAATAAAACTTTTCTTTTCCCTGAAAATAAGTCACTATGAGCCTACTTCTTCCTTGGTAAGGGTGATTAACAAAACTGGGGATGAAGATGGCAGGAGGTAAATCTGATTCTTCTTTCTTGTATAAGAAGATGAGGGCAAGGTTGCTGGTATATCTTTAAGACAGAGAAGAAAAAAGGAAGATACTGTCTGCAAACACAATTGGACACAGGTAAAACCATCAACAGACTTCCCAAAAATAATGATGAACAAACCCAAAAAATAGTAATTCAAGTTATAGTAACGGATGTTTAATTTTGCCAGTCTAAGAAGACATACATTCTCATGCTCCTCCAGTAACCTGAGGACATTCATCTTCATATTTCCATAAGGGCTGTCCCAGGCCAAGGGAACAAAACAAGAACTGGGAGTCAGAAGTCACCCCTGGGTGAAATGATCTGACAACATAAAAACATTCATAAAACGCCTGCACGTTGAGATGCAGCATCAGTACTCTTTGGAATTTATCTTAAGGATGTAACTTAAGAAAAGGAAAAGTATTATTGACACAATGAAGTTAATACATTATATAACTGAGAAAAACCATTGGAAATAACCAAAATAGGTTAAGTACAATCACTTGATGAAATACTAAGTAGCCAATTGAAATAACCATGAAGATTATGCAACCAGGAAAACTATGCATATACTAACATGAAAACAATATTCCACTAGAGAAAATATTCCATTAGAGAAACATTTAGTAGCCAATAACTTCAAAATAATGAAATTAACACAGTGACATTCTACACTGTAAAAATATCTCAAAAACAAAGAACCTGTCTAGATGAGAAATACAGAAAGTACGTTTACCTTGAGCTAGTCTTTCAAGTCGTTTCCCATGCTCCGGAGGTATTGCATACCTAAAATTTTAAACATAAATAGAGATTTTAGGTTTATAATTTTTCAGGTAGTATCCTAAGAACATTTACTCCTAAATAATGTCATGTAAAAAAATTCTACACCAGCCGAGCTAGTGTAGCTCGATGGATTGAGTGCCAGCCTGAGAACAAAAGGGTTGCTGGTTTGATTCTCAATCAGGAAATCATGCCTGTGTTGCAGGCCAGGTCCCTGGTGAGGGCAGCACAAGAGAACAACCACACATTGATGTTTTTCTCACTTTCTCCCTCCTTTCCCCTCTAAAAAGGAATAAAATCTTAAAAAAAAAATTCTACACCAAACTCCACTTAAATGAACTGAGTAGATTAGAAAACCAATCGCCGAGTCATATCTCTTAAACACTGGATGGACAAAAGTAAAATGAACTCATAAATCACTTATTTTAATGACCCAGCTTATCATGCCAACCACATTTTAAAGATTAAGGAACAAAGGCAAAGGAGCAGGAAAATGGTTAGCCCAGGAGGCAGCTAGCCACAGCACAGAGACTAGAACCTCTCTCCCAACATTCACAGCACTGGAGAAATCCAGGGCTATTTTTGGTCATATATTTTAGTTTTGTGCTTGGTTAGTTGGCCTTTGTTTTTATAAAAAAACTGGGTTGCTGGGTGTTTTTTAACCTTTTAAAATGTTTTTACTGAAAAGCAGAATAGAACACAAAATTTTATAGCAACATTTACATTTTTAATCAAACCTTTCTCTTATACCTTTCAAATAGGTTTTAAATAAAATTACCAGTCATAAAAAAACCAGCTACTATTTATTTCATGATTATGTGACTTTTAAAGTCTTGATTATGGAAAAAATAATAATTTTTCAAGAAAATACTCATTTCTAGTACAAGATGTTCCCAAAAGTAAACACTTGAACTTATTTACTGTAAACTTACTAACAAATTTTGAAGCAATAATTTCATAATATGCTACACAAATACTAAATTTTACAGGTAGTTTAATGAGGAAAATTAAGGATACTAAAAGTGAAATGATCATTTTGTATTTTAAGTAAAAATATGTTATTCTTAAGACCTACATTTGCTACATTTATTAGATCAAGTTACTTTTAAGTTCAAGTTACTTTTAACTGAAATAATTTTTCTAATTTTACTTAACACCACACTCAGCTACATTTAATGCCAATGATAACATATGCAAAACTTAATCGGATACAATGTAACTAGGCAATTCTCTGAAAGAAAATTCAACCATATATCCTATTCCTTAAGGCACTATTAATGAAATTATTCCAATGAATTGGGAAGATAAAATTTTAGCATAACTAAATGACAATCACCCAATATATATTTGTAGTCACTTCTTACTAGTTTTTAATCCCTGATTAATATTACCACTTATACCCAGAAAAGAAATATGTCCTATATATGCCCCAGATAAGAGGTTCTCCTCCCCCATAACACACATACACACATGCATACACACATGTAAAGGGCATATGCCTGCCCTCAAAGGGTCAGGTGTGGATGGAGGTATTTATAGATCCTGATTCACATTTCTGAAAAATCAGCATCAAAGATAAAGCTTTTTAATCTGAAGTTCTGTTCACAGAAAACATAGGTCTGTTCATCTGCAGAAGGGGAGAAGGTAAGGCGCGGCATCTCTACTCCAAGATCCTCCGTTTACTCATTCTAGGATTTGAATCAACCCATCATACCTCTCCTCCCAGGATGCCCTTTTATTGGCCTATCTCCTAAATTCTTTTCTGCAAGTATAGTATCTCCCAGGTACAGCTGTTCCTATCAGAGACAGGTGATTATTTTCTTCTACAGGTTTGGACAATGTCTCAGTCTATTTTCACATTCTATGAAAGATCCAGCATTTTTCCTCCGTGGCTGCCTGAAGATCAACAACCATCATGAACAACATAGTGTACCTATCTGGACCAACCAACTACTTCAACAAAAACAAATGGTCACTGATGTCCTTCATCCCGGGAAGGCAACAGTACCTAAGATAAAAAATCAGCAAGAAACTAGCCAAAATGTACAAGACCACAATGGATGTCATCTTTTTATATGAATTCAGAACCCATTCTGGTGGTGGCAAGACAACTGTCTTTGGCATGATTTATGATTCCTTGGATCATGCAAAGAAAAATGAACCAAGCCCTGACCAGTGTGGTGCAGTTGGATGGGCACTGTCCCACAAAGGAAAGGTCGCCGGATCAACTCCCAGTAAGGGCACACACTTAGGTTATTGGTTCAGTCCCCAGTCGGGGCACATGCAAGGGGCAACCAATCAATGCTTCTCCCTCACATCAATGTCTCCCTCTCTCTCTCCCTCCCTTCCCTCTCTGTAAAAATGAATGAATAAAGTTATTAAAAAGAAAAAGAAAAGAAAAATGAACCCAAACATAGATTGACAAGACATGGCCTGGATGACAGAAAAAGACCTCAACAAAACAGCAAAATGACCATAAGAATACAACAAAGAAACCCAGAAGGACTGCAAAGACCAGTGTTGGTGCAGACATGAAGATGGTTCTGTAGTGACTGTTACGATTGTGCAGATTTTTCATGAGAGGATTAGTGAACTTTAAAACTTTCCCAAAAAATCCAGTTCATAAATGATTATTAATAAAATTTTTATGGCTAACCAATGATTGCTATAATTCTATAGCATCAGAAATCATCAAAGTATAAAAACTTACTTCCAACCACAGCCCCTTAACATAGGAAGACATGCAAAATTTCCTGAGGACAACCAAATCCTCAAACTGAAAGCCACACTGCGTTCACTCAATTAAGCATACTGGGAGAAAATGACTTCAAGGGGCAGCTCCTCTTCTCTTGCCTGGTTTAGATATTGCCCTTGTTATCTCACACCTCTGATCCTTCCCAGCTCCTATTTCTGGACCTTCTATGCCATTATCACCCCTGTCCAGTTCACAAAAACACCCACTCCTTTTTCCAAGCTCAGCCAGAGTCACCCCAAGGGAGAGCTTCCCATTCCCTCTTGCTGACCAACCATACGGAGTATAGGCTTTCACCATGGTACTCACAATTTATTTATTTGTTTGTTTGTTTATTTGTTGTTTGTCTTTCTGCCTTCCTGCTCTCCTATCAAGCTCCCTTGGGCAAGGGTCATGTCTTTCTCCTGAAACACAGCACCAGCTGAGCAGATGCTCGGTTACTACTTGCTGACTTTTGCTCTCAAGTTACGAATTTTGTTCCTGCTATACCAGGATAGAAGATGTAAAGGAGAGGCAGGATACAGAAAGAAGAAAAAAAAATCATGAAAGTGGGAAATGGAGAGAAAGGGTAAATAGTAATTAAAGCCAATTTACAGACTATCTATAGAGTCAGCCTAGCACACTCAGGATCAACCACTGCGAGTCTCAACCTCCCAGTCTGTTCAAATGCCTATTTCAATCAAAACTTTCTCTCTCTCAAGATTTAACCATCTCCCAGAACCGCACATTTTTAGGTTTCCCCATTCTGCCTTGCCTTTTCTTTATTCCTCCTGGATCCTACACATTCCTGTAATATATCAACAGTCTGTGAAGGACCAAGTGTGCTCAAGGTAGATGGGCAGGTTTGAGGTACTTAATTTCCACTTCAATGGCATGGGTTGGGGGAATCTAATTTTCCAATATAATTGCCTAACAATTCAGTTCCTATGAATGTTGTGGTCAGCACTGAAAAACATCATCTAATTATTTAATAAAAAGAAAAAATGAGTAAAAGTCAACTAGCAAAAGGTTCTAACTTCATAAGAATGTTAATATTTTTCATCCAAAAAACTTTTTTAAAAAAATTGGTATAAGCTACTATCAGACCACATTTGAAACAAAATGCTCTGAATAAGAGCAAGTCATAGGGTATAAAAGCCAAAAAACCCTAAATCACTAGCATGTTTTTCAAAAAGTTTGAAATTCTGCTGCTCTGATAACATCCAAGACTTTGTTCATTTCTATTTGACATACTACTTCATGGAAACACTAAGCAATTCTCAATAATTTTTTGAAATTATAGCATAACAATACAGCCTGCCTGCCCATCCCTCTGACACTCTGTCATCAGCATTTAGACACCTGACTAAATACAGGATGGGACAAAAGTAGGTTTACAGTTGTGAGTCCACAAAACACAGTTTATTCTTGTATTATTATTTATTAATTACTGTATTATTGCCATACAAACTGTAAACCTACCTTTGCCCCACCTTATAAATAAAATAACAAATAAATAACTTTCCTGAGTCCTTCATCTTGCTACCATCCATCTGCCTTCTTTCTTTTCCTTTTTTAGATTTTATTTATGTTTTTATAGAGAGGGGAAGGGAGAAAGAGAGAGAGAAATATCAATGGGTGGTTGCTTCTCACACGCCCCCTACCAGGGACCTGGCCTGCAACCCAGGCATGTGCCCTGACTAGGAATCCAACCAATTGGCTCCAAGGCCAGCGCTAAGTCCACTGAGCCACACCAGCCAGGGCTCATCTGCTTCCTTTTCCTCCCCTTACACACACACACCTTCCAATACTTGCCACACTTTTTGCTACCATTCACACTGGAGTCCAGTGTAATCTGGATCCTATTTTCATCACTCTCAGTATAGCTGCTCAGACAAAGGTTGTCACATTTTTTTGGTCTTTAATGTTTTTCTATCTAGAATTTTTTAAAGATTTTTTAAAAATTTATTTTTAGAGAGGGGGAAGGGAGGAAGAAAGAGAAGGAGACATCAATGTGTAGTTGCTTCTTGAGTACCCCCAACCAGGGACCTGGCCCGCAACCAAGGCATGTGCTCTGACTGGTAATTGAACCAGTGACCCCTTGGTTCACCGGATGGCACTGAATCCACTGAGCCACACCAGCAGGGTGGAATTTTTTAATAGTTTCTTAAAATGCTCACTTCCCTTGAGTTTCATGATCCAACTCATCCCCAGTGGTTTTCTACCTTCTACTCTTGCCACATCTAACACTGATGTTCCCCCTGATTCCATGTTT